TTTGGATAGTACTGTCTGCTTGCAGAAAGAGGTGTTTAAGAAATATTGTGACATTGTTTCTTTTTTGCTGGTATTCAGTTCAGATTAAAGAACACTTAGAATTTGTCTGTCATAGAAACAAAAAACCCCAACAAATCTTTTTTTTTTTAACTTAGGCATGATGCCACACTAATTCAAGCCTTGTGCTTCATGTATTCTCCATTTTATTCATTTCAAGTGACTGTGTTTGGTGCCCAGAAAGGAGAATTATTATGTGTTCTTTCTGCCCCCACCCTTTGAGCTTTTAGTGGTAGTATGTGACAGCATCCATTGACTGCAATAGTTAATTTTCATAAAGCAGACAAGGCTTTAGGAGATTAAACTAAAAAATATGAACCATGGCATTCTGGAAAGGCGTAAAAGTTAGTGGTTAAGAACCAGCTATAATACAGTTACCCAGCATGAAGTGTTGATTAATTATACTTTTTAATATGTAGTTAATTCTCCCTTTTATAACTAGCATTCAGGATGGCAAAGGAATAGACTTGTTTTGTCAATTGTGTGCATGCCAGATGGACTCTTAATATGTGTCAGCAGATAAATGGGCCATTATTAAGATTAGATGCATAATGATCATTTCAGCCTTGTTTATTTAGGTCATCGACAGCCGTAGAAGATGATCTCTTATAAGTAAAATTACCTTGGGATCTGAAAATCTTTAGCTTTTCTTAGACTGCTATCAAAATAAATGTAAAACGTTGGTGTCTAGTTTTAAAGTAACACATTAAGTTAACTTTTTAGCTTACTGAAGTGAGAACTGAAAAAAAATAGTTTACAACCACAAATAATTTTACCAGTGTCTTGGACTCTTGTCCTGAGTAATGCAGCTCATAGCTGTGTAAGCAGATGAATTTGTTCATTTATTAGATGGAACTCCTCGCATTTATTAGATGGACTCCTGGTACTAGTGAAAGACTTTGACGGTAATAAATGTCTGTGGTTTATTTCAGGTTGCAGTGTAAGATTTTGGAAGTCATAGCTCCACCCCATCACAATGGAATGGCGAATGGCCACGCCGGCAGCACTGATGGAGACACAATTGTCATCAGCGACAGTGACGACTCAGAAACGCACAATAGCTCTGCACAAAATGGGTAAATGATACTTTTGCAGTATAAAGCATTTAGGCTAGGTGGAAATGAGACTAAAGCAGATGTGGCAGAGTCTGACTGAAACAAATTACTTGATCTGTATGGATTGTGAGTGTTCAGCCACCTGAAGATGAAAGCTGAATATTCACAGGTGGCAGTTATGCTATGTGTAATCCACCAGAGAACTGTGTGTTATGAGAAACAGAGTATCTACATTTAATCATTGTTAATCTATTTGGAATGGCAGTGTTTGTGTTGAGAGATGGTGGAAGAGCCATGTATGCCTATCACTAGTCCTCTCTTTGCTGCAGAACCTGTGCTGCTATAGTTTGGAAAATGTGGTCATGTTCTGCGTTTCTGCAGTCTGGTACTACTTAGCATGATGTATTACTTCTATCGTGGGGCTCAGAGTTGAGATTGCCTTGTAGTAAGAGGACGTGCTCTTACTGGAACTCTCTGAAAAGTCTTTCTAGAGACTTAATGTGTTTGTGTTCAAAATATAAGAATGTACAAAACTTTCTTCATTGTGCATGTGTCCATATAGATATATGCCATTGCACTTAATGGATTTGATTATGATTTTAGGTGCCGTGAAACAGTGTGTGTCTTATCGCAAGGAGCTGCCTGTAGGCTGGAGTAGCTTAATAACATTGAGTAGGACAGCTTCCTGGCGGTAATTGTGGTGTTTAATTTGGAGTATCCCTTTACTGACCAGTAATTGAGCTTATATATGCAGCTTATCCTAGCAGTGTATGAGAATTCTGTGCTTCACAAGCACAATGTTGATGAAATAGAAGAGCTTGAAGTGGACCTCAGTCTTGTATCTGGCAACATACAGGCTTTATACAAACTGTTACTGACTTTGAGATGTCACATGGATGCAGAAGTTATTCTCACTGACTGCTACATGAGGACTTCCATGTCCTGAAATGCCTTGAATAACTAGGGTGGAGCTCCTCTCTTGGCTAGGAAAATAACATGGGATAAATAATTTTTAAAATTCTCTGCTGTCTCTTGAAGGCAATGTCCAAGTTGTTCATGAAGAGCTCCTACATCTTTGAGAAAATAAATGCATTTTCTGTGTTCCACAAGGCATATGGCATTTGAAAGGAGGTTATTCTTGGGATTATGCAAGTGTGCACAGAGCTGACTGTGGGATTGATCCCTTTATATTGCTGTCACTTCCATGCCTGCAGAGCTGGTAGTAAGACTGAGTCTTACAGTCCCAGGCAGTCTGTGGTTCTCCCCAGCTGATTAATTATTTTGACAATGCAGAGAAGGGAGGGAAAATAATTTCTTTCTCTTAGAAAGAGAAATCTTGTGAGAATATACAAATTTTTGAAGCGCTGTTCTGTGGCATGCCTAACTAACATTTATGCTACAGGCTTAAATTGCAAACGTTTTATGGCTTTAAAGTGCTTACTGGAAGTTTTAAGTGAGTCTTTATAACAAATTTCAGTTAGTTTCTGGATATATGTATTCTGGGTATATGCAAACTTGGAAAGTATTATTTGCTGTAACTGTAAAACCTATCTGAAAGTAGAGTATTGTTGTCGATTTTTGTATATTGGCATCTAAGATTATTTATACCCTCACTCATAACACTAAGAAATCCCACTGAACTGAATGACATCATTTTGCAGCCCTAATCCTTCAGGGACTCTATTTTGCTGTTATGGAGAAACGTGGATGTGGAGAGTATGGATGTTATTCACCTTGGGACCAATGTAAAGTTGATAAGTGCAGAGCCACTGTTCTGCCTCTGCACACAAATCCCAGGTTTTGAGACCTAGCCTTCGTGCAAAGCTGCGGTGCCGTTGAACAATGGTACAGCAGATGCTCGGTGTGTTTGTGAGAGAGGGGGAGGGGAGCACAGCACAGATTGATGGGCCATCTGCAAATATTTTTCCTAAAGAATCTGTAAGGCTAGAGAATCTTAACTGAAAATAGATGTCATTAGAGATCCCCGCCTTTTTCTGACCCTACCACTGTCTGTGGGGCAGAAATAGCCACATGTTCTGTACAAGTGTTCCTGCTGATGTTCTGCGGTAAAAGCTGAGGTTGTACAGGGGGAAAGAGGCCAGGGCACTCTCACTCCTACACTCCCTCAGGAAAACAGGCTGCCTTGTAAGGACTGAGTTATGAAGCAAAAGGCAGCAATCTTCTGAGATCTTAAACCATTGATACTGTGCGGTGAGACCCTCGGGTACTGTAGGATAGTGGTCATCATAGAATAGCAGTATTCATACATACCTTAAACTGCTAGGCTTAGGGTAAGGTTGAACTCTTGCATTTGCTTTAGCAGTCAGCAGCAGACTGGAGATTGAGGGGCTTGTACTGCCAAATATATACAATACTAGCGGCAACTTAATTCATGGCATTCCTCCTGCCAGGGCTATGAGTAATGTGAACCATCAACCACATCAGAAATACTACAGGGAGGGAAAAAAAATTATTCTTGGCTTACTGGCTGGTTTATAGCAGTAAATGTGGGTGTTTATTCAATTTGAAGTGAAGTATCATCTTTATTTTGGGGAAGGGTTAATTGTTTCTGCAAATCTTGGGATGCGAGCAGAGGTTACAAAGTTTTTTGAAATAATACCAGTGGAACCTTACCGTCTAGATTTTTTACAATCTTCAACCTAATTTTCTGCCTCTATTTGGAGAAGAAATTATGAACAGGCTATGTCAAAAAGTGTGGTCATAGCTTGTCATTAAAGCTATACAGTGTCTTCAGTAGAACAAATCTTTCCTCATCTTTAATTCTTATCTTTCCTTTCTTCCACTCTCATACCTCCATCCCCTGAATCTAATAATAGGGATGGTAGGTCTTAGTCCACTTTGTATTGTGAGGAAAGACCGAAGTACTGGATCAAAGTCAGCTTAAAATTTTCGTCAAAAGGTTCAAAGTCAGGATTTTGTTGCAAAGTGCTGTTGTCTTGTCCTTAGAGCAGTATAACCAGCATTCTGTTAACAGTCTTCAGGTTGCTGTATTTCCTTGTTGAAGTTCTAGTCAGATTCCAGAAAATATTTGCAGTTCCAAACAGGCAGTTGTAATTACTCAACACAGAGTAGCTTGTCAGTGGCAACCTTCAAAGGGGTGCAGAGGCCAGCTTTTCTATCAAGATCAATATACTGACAGGTTATCTCTGCGTAAGGCTTGCACTGGAGCATTCTTCAAGGGAGCTTTTTCCACTCCCAAGCTTAGTCGAAGAGAAGAAGAAAAGCCACTGCGTCTTTATGGAAAAGCAGGACAGCATTCATTTTAGATGCATTCCTCGTCCTCTAACTCTCAGTATTTTTCTGTGCAATTTTTCTAATTCTGTTAATACCACAAGATATAGATAGCTCCAGCAAGACTCAGGCCAGATAGTATAGATAGTCATGTCCTGGACAAGGTAACTCAGAAGGACAAGGTGTCGGAAGTTTCTTCGTACAGCTACCTTAAGACCATGCTCTCTGAATATAATACGGCAGGACGGTAAGGAGAAATTTATATCCACGTCGTGGGGTCACCATGCCAAAGTAATTGAAGGGCTGATGCGATTATTGTCTGTTAGTGATTCAGAATAACTTCATTCAAAAAATGCAAGACTCTGCCAGGTGCTACGCACTTTTACTTGAGTACAGTAGAAACTAGTATAATATGGGTGAGTCTCTTCCAGTTTTCCCCTACTAAGTTACAAGATACTCTATATTCTTTCCTCTGGATCTGGTGGTCTGTCAGAGCTGCCCCGCAAAGACTTGCTGTAGGGGATCTCTGCTGCGAAATCAGTCTAACCTTTATAAAGCATTATATAAAACACATAAGAGTTAACAAAGTAAAATATAACAAAAAAATAATATTATGACTTTTATGCCAAAGTGACTAGATAAACGATATAATTTTTAAAGTTTTCTACATATACTGAATTAGCTCTTTCTTCCTCTTCTGCACTAAGCAAAATTTTGACTTTAAATTTGGATTTATGGAGGAGGATTTCAGTAATATGTTAACTTCTTAGGATAATCATTGGAAACTGAGAAACTAAGCAGAAAAAACTTAGTATGTTTGGAAATTAGGTTGGGGCTATTGTATATGATCCACTGAAGGTGAGAGAAGGACTTAGTCAAACTGAAAAGTAAAGGTTAATGATACAAGAGTTAACCATTTGATTATTCTTTGGGCCTTGCTTTTGATTACAGACAGTATCAGAGCTTAGAATCTATTAAAAATGTATAAATAAGCTAATATACTTTTGGTATAAGATTGGCATTCTCGTACCTTTTATTTTGTATCTGAACATTATCTGTTCTGTTTGAGTCCTTCCTTTAGCTTGTTAGACTAAAGAGCTGGAACCGCAGCGGTGTATGGTGAGGGAAACAAGTTTCCATTTGATACTATCCAGAAATTCCTAGCTACTACATTCATTACTTTAGCTTTCCTGTCTTGTGACTGAAGGTGATTGTGGAAGACCCAAGTCACAGTATGACCAAAATACGAAGCCTCTTCTAACAAAATTAAGATTATAGCAGAGAAGTTAAAATGTTGCCAGTTACTTTTTTTATACGATTTATCTCTGTTTTACTAATATGACTAGCCGGCTGGGGTTTTTAATTATTTTTCTTAAATTGGAGTTAGTCTGAGTGACTCAACTTGATTTTTAACTAGGATAGCATCGTGCGAGGCACACAGTGTATATGATAGTGCCATAGGGCTTATCTGTAGTCCAATAAACAGACGTTGCTGTTTCCAAGTCTAAATCTTCTTTTCTATCCCTTCATTTGTATTTAACTAGGTGGATCATTTAATCGTTGTAAACTCTTTTTCTACAGAAATTTGCAAATTATTCTCATGTAAAATGACACTAACTGTAGATAAGTACTGTTTCCTTTACACTTCATTTGTATGAATTAACGTATTATTAGGCATCTGAATGTTGCATTTATTTGGACTTTATTTCACAGAGTTAGTGGGGAAAAAATAAGAATTGGAGCAAATTTCATATTCAGCAACTTTGCAAAGTTGTGTGTGTTCTTCATAGGGGTAAAGAATAGTAAGTGGTATATTGCTTTATTTTGTTTTGTCACAGACTCCACCTTCAGGCATTTTGTAAATGTTAGGACTGACAATGATGATGAAATGCATAGCTGTAAATCTCCCAGTTCATCCATGTAACTTCCTCACCTTCCCTTACTGTTGAAGTAAGATGACGGCTGAATTCTTCCCGATAAAGCTAAAGCAGTATGACTTTTGATTACAAATTACCACCCTAGGAGAAGTTAATTCTGTTGATTAATAGCAAAATGGAACATTCTCTGTTCATGAAGTCTGTCCGTAAATGTACCACACTATTGTCTATGACAAAACACTCTCTCTGTTTTTTTTAAAGGAGTGAATTTTGTTTTGTTAGCACACCAGACCTAGGTGGTTATTCTCCTAGGAGGTGTAGGAAAACAGTTACTGTTATATTAAAACTGAAGAAATATTTTCCGGGGCGGGGGGGGGGG